GAAGTATGCTTGGAAGTCAGCCTTGGAAGATTTCAGCAACTGGCACTCACCTGATGATTATCTGTGTTTGATGTTATCACCATGTGGTGTTATGGGAATATAATCTGAAGGCCCCATTACTCTCCAATAGCTCATTTATCTGAAACCTCAATAGCAGACAGAAAGCCGGGTAGATTTGCACCATACAGACTTATAAGAGTTGCTTCTGTCTAGGCAGTACAAGTCTGGTAGGACTTTGTCCATGAAACCTGTGCTGCTGCAGCTTCGTGGTACATGAGCTGGTGCAGGTAAGTCTACACTCTGTATTCTACCTGCAATTGTGGGGCAGATATCACCTACGAATTAGAGGCCCAGTTTGGTGGCAGATTTGGATCAGGATTTAAACTGCATCCACAACAGGGCTTGGAATGAGTCAGGCCTATTTTTAAATTAGAACAAAAGGGGAACCAGGCATTTGCCTTCCCTACCCCCAGATGCTAGCAGCTTTGCCTCTTCCTTTTCACATATGTAGGGAGAAAAAGTCACTCCTCAATCTCATTTGTAGTGTCCCAGTAATTACGAAAGCAGGGAAATTAATTACGAGGGCTTCAGGCAACCTACATACCCTGCAGCATGTACTATAGCACTCAAGTACAGAACAAATGCTTGTGGGACACTACTGCCATCTGGATCCAGAATCACACTGCCTACTGGTTTAACAACTATTTTGGGCTATAAGCAATATTTGCAACTATGATTACCTACTTCTTGCCAAGTGATTTGACATCTTTGCACCAGGTTGTGTGGGCACTGCTGTGTGGTTCATGCTTCTCGGCTGCTACCTGGGTTGTGTTGGTGATGCTTTGCCCTCCAAAACCTTTAGCTGTTCTCTGGGTTGTGTTAGGGATTAGCAGAATGAGAAAAACCAGTGCCAACCCTCCCATGCAAGGCGTTATCTGTAGAGACAAGACTGAAGGTCATGAATGCTGTTCCCCTTACAGTGAAGAGCAGGTAATAGCCAGAAGTCTTACTGTTAAACATGTATACACGAGGACCTGCAGAGAGGCCTAGAAGAGACCTTATTTGTTTTCTCTAGGCTAATGGGGGCCAACCTTTTCGGCAGGTGTACCGCAAACTAAGCCTCACA